TATATATTTATACAGTACATACTGTATGTATATATAATGTGTTTCATTATAATTCGAATAAAAGGGCATTTCATTGATTCTGCAAATGGGCCCTAACAGCACTATGTCTTCTGTGTCTGTGTGTGGTGTCTCTACACCGCTTTTTGTGTGTGGTCATGCTTCATATTTTCATTTAAGCTTTGATCATATTACTGCTATTCTCGCCATATTAATGTTAGTCAATGAATAGATTAAACATTCAATTAAGCATAATGTGTGCTAGTGTGTGTGGCAGTGCATTTGAGTGTGATTCTCTGTGTGTATGTGAGTTGTGTAATGATGTGTAAATATATTTATGGCTCAGGGTCACAGTGGTATTAACCTGACCCAGACTCTGTCTTTGTCTCTGGGGAACCCCCCTGTGCTGCTGATTGTTCTGTGTTTCAGTCAGCTTTTGTGAGCCCTCTACACTGTAAACTGAGCATGTGTGCGTGACAAGATGCTTGTTTAAAGAAAAGCTAAGCACCAAGAAGTTCCATAAGTTTTATGCTGTCATTTGAACCTCTGTGGGGAAAACACATATCTGCACACAGACATCCTGTACAGGACAGGTGCACAATTTTTCAGAGAGTGAGATAAAGCTCCCTGCAACTCAGCTACCTCACAGGGGGACTACAAGCTGCACTGAGTTGTGTTACCTTTACCAAATGGGGAAGGCGTTCAGTTAAATGTCCCGTCAGTCAAGGATATACCAAATGCCTACATCTTATTCCAGTTTTAAACCTCTAATTGGTAACGTTTAGAAGCCGTTTAAGAGTGCCCTTTCTCCTCCATTTTCTCATTTCCCATTTAATGTGTTGTGTCAAAGTCTATTACCTCAGTTGGACGTTTCTGTCCCTTAAGTTGAAAAAAAGGAAAAGAGAGGGGGTGTAAGAGAGTGAGAAAGAGAGACAAGAGGTAGGAGGGGGTGGAAAAGAGAGAGAGAAGCCATCAGCTGAGGTTTGCCAGGTCGATAAAGCTTTTAGATTTGGAGACGTTTTCGGGGGAGCCCATTTCCTGCGGCTAAGAGTCGTTAATGGAGCTTAAGGAATTATCTTATGACTCTCGGTTTGAGAGCAGTTTATTTCAGCCCGGACTCTGCTCCTGTGTCGGAGTGGCTGAATATGCTGCTGTCAAACCCGCTTAATGAAAAGTAACGCGTCGCTGATTACAGTTTTATTTGGTCTCTATGTAAAAAGCTCCTGTTAATTTACCATCTCACTCCCTCTGTGTGTTCGTATTTGCCACAGCTGAATGATTTAGCTATAGCTGACTTCTCTCTCTCTCTCTCTCTCTCTCTGCATTTACACACAAAGTCTCTCTCTCATGTCCTTTTCTCTAAAATAAAAAGCCACTTGGTTCGGAGGTCTAATAAAACCTATCTTCATGCTAAATTAATTAAATGTCGAGGCTATATTGTCCTATTAGTGGGGTTTGTAACTCGGCCCTATTTTTTTCAGAATCAGAATCTATGAACAATTACATACGATTATTGTGTGTGTGTGTGTGTGTGTGTGTGTGTGTGTGTGTGTGGGTGGGGGGGTGTCATGTCAGCAGACCCACATCACGGAAAATGCGAACAACATAAGCACCTATTAAACCTGCATACACCTGTCAGATATCTATTCCCTGACACCATTTATGTCTTTCCTCAACTTTATTTTGCGGTCATGTCAACTCTGCCTTGGAAGTGCTGCGGGGCAAAGTTGTCCGGGCTCAGGAAGCAAATAAAAACATACACCCCGACTTTGATATATAAAAAACCCTTTTGTCCACCACAGCATTTTCTTCCAAGAGGGGGGGAGATTTCAGTCGTTTGTGGTTTTCCCATTAAAATTCATCACTGGATCCCGCCCCCCCCTCCCTCCTTCAACCCTCTCACAGGACAGAGAGTCCCCCGAGAGCCCACTTTCGCCATTACTGTCAAGTACCCTTGACTCCTTTCTTTTTGCCCTTTTATCTACAACAACTAATTCGAGTTCCTTTGCCCTTTTCACTTTTCGACGACGTGAGTGCCTCTGCCGTAAAGCCCTTCCACTTTTCAGTAGGGGAATCAGCAACCAGGCCTGTGTGTGTGTGTGTGTGTGTGTGTGTGTGTGTGTAGGGCGCCGTCTCTAGGAAATTGAGGGGTTAGTGTAAAAACGAAAACTCCTCACTTCAAATTATTTCGCAAGGCCTCCGTCTTGAACCCATTAATGGACGTATGGCGAATAACTTACCCTTTTGACAGCTGCATCATGGACGATGTTGAGATGTTTCGATAATATTATCAAAGAGCAGAGAGGGGAAATCAATAGCCTGACATGAAATATGACTGCGAACATCCCAATTACAGCCTGTTAAGAGGGAATTAATGAGGCAGATCTTAGATACTGATATTGTTCTGTCTTGAGGGTTGAGCTCATTTTTTCGCTGTCACTAAATGAGAGTGGATGTTTTCTGAACAATAAGAGGGATCGGAATTGTTATTGCGCCTGTTTCGATGGGTTAAGAATGAAGTGGAACGATAAAGGTGTTTTATTTAATAGCAGATTGAGTTTACAAAGGTCCCCTATGCTCAGCTGCGTAGTAGTATTGGACGTAGTTTATTTGAAAAGTAACAGGAGACAAACAGCAATAGAAACTAGAGAGACCTGTAGTATTTAAGCACCATGGACAGCAACTCTCACCAACATCACAAGCGCCCTTCAGAAACCGGCTGCTTTTATTTTCAGTGAACAAAGCTGAAACACTCTCATCCACTTCCAAGGAGAGCTGTGCATTTGTGAGACTTTTTTGAAACAGTGATACTCAACTGCTGCGACCTAAATAATATTCAATTACATTTGCATGCGCATAGTAAATAAAACAATTAAAATAAGCATCATGTAAACCTTAGGCCTCCCCCCCCCAAGATGTAAACTTGTAGTTATAACCTACGCTTCAATAAATTGTGTGCGTGCGTTGAATAAAATAAGCCAAACGGATCCGGATATTTCGCTCGTGTAACGCCAGTGTAACAGTATATAGCTACCATTGCTTTAAAAACGAATAAAACATAATGGGGGGACATAGGGGCGTAACAGGGTTTTCCATCCGACTTTCAGTCAGCCACAAAAAGTCTCTCTTTTTGTAATAAAATGGTCATTTGGTTTTGTTAGGAGCAGAAAAGTTTGTTGATAGTTTTTGGGAAACTCATGGCACTGTCTTTGGAGGAGTCTTGATGCTGCTGCAAGGCCGCCACGCTCCTGCCAGCCTCCAGAATGGGGCCTTTGGTGTTTGTGGTCCAAGAGACGGTGGTGTTGGTCAGAGCCTGGCTCAAAGTGCTGTGCCTGAACAAAGGGTCGTGGAAAACCCCGTCCACCCAGTTTCTCAGGGTCGTGACTGGGGAGTCCTGTCTGTTGTCTAGGCCTGTCAGGGGTGAGGTAGCAGCGGGGGACGGGGTGAGGGAGGAGGGGGGCGGCTGGCACCTCAGCATACAGGACGGGTACTCAGTCTGGTTCACAGACGTCGCTGTCTGGGCCAAAGACCAGATCCGGGGTTTGCCGTCTAATATCTGGTGCCCTTGCTGCTGATGCTGCTGCTGCTGCTGGTTATAGCACGCCTTTGTCTGCGGTCTGTTGCTCGGCTGGAAGTCATCCGGGTTCGTTTTGAGACAACCTTTGCTCAAGTCCTGCTCCCCGGGGATGGAGATCTTCAGAGACGCGTCCTTGATGAGGTGTTCGGTGGGGCAGTCGGCTGTTGTTGACATGTGCGCGTTCATGTGGTATCGATGCTTCAGCTCACACTCGGAGTTCTCAGACTCCAGCGTATCGAAATCGTCCAAGTCGCTCAGCTGGAGATCCTTATCAGCCCCACTTCTGTTCTCTGGGAGGAATGAGCAGAGAGGCGACAGGAGACGTGTCATTTAAACATATGGTGCCGTAAGCTCAGGCACTGAATCACACAATAGCAGCCAGTCACTCTGAAAGCAGACATCAACTTACAATCACAAGTAAAATTACAGCTCATTATCACACCACTTGTTTTTCGTTTGGTGTACGCTACTTTAATTTTTTTATAAATTATGAATGTATCCATTTGGGCCAACATAACAAACTTCCTATCACTCAAAGAAGTTGGAAAAAGTCAAATTTTCACTGAAATCTAAAGTGAGTTTTAAAAAAAGCCTGACCTCCAACATGTCTCTGTAATAAACTTACTGAGACCTGTACATAGATATTCTATAGATGCATTTGTTACAGTAGGTCTGTGCAGAATCTCAGTAATTGGTGCTGTTTAATTTCACATTGTATTACAATATAATCATTTTAAGTGTGTGAAGCGTTTTCAGTGCACAAATAACCTTCAGTCAAACTAATTATAATGTCTCAATGTAATTTTGATTTCAATTATTATCATGATACACTGACTATAGGATGGGGCTTTAGAAAATCTAAATATTACACTGATAGCCCAAAAAGTCATATAATGGTACAGATGTGAAGCCCACACTGTATCATAATTTTCACCCCAGCCTACTGTATATGTCATTGCTGCAAAGAAATGAAAAATGTGATTGCAATGAAACCTGCAGAGTATAAAAACCTGCACAGAGTATAATCACTATTATAATTATGATACCCCTCTTATTATAACTATAATTGCCATTGTCATTGCAGACATCATCTTCATCATAACCTCAGGGTGGATTTAATCTATCACTGAAATAAATAATCTGAGGAGTGTTTACATTTCTAAAAGAAAGAGTG